CCACAAGGCCCATCAACATTAGTATTGCCATTTGGCGAAACACCCGGGCCACCAAAGAAAAAACCCAGTTCTCGTCTCTCGCTACTCTCTGTTCCCCTGACCTTCCCATCGCACTGCAGAAAAACACGCATGTACCCGGACACCAGGACACCCACATATAAGCCATATTATATGTATGCGTATCCACCAATCAATCAGACTCGTCACGCACGTAACGGGGAAGCGCGTAGCACCAACATAGCCACACACAGCAGCCAGGAGTGCACTCCCCCAACCATGCAACGGTCCGATACACCCAACAACATGCGTCCTGCATATACCACACCACCTGAAGTGCGATNAAGAGACCGACCGCGTGACGTGACATGTTGCGGTCGAATTTCAACGACTAATTTTTCTGTTGCCCTCTCCCCCGTTTGCTGTCGCGTTCAGACTGTCTCTAGGGATATCCCTGTCTCTGTGCGAGTTTGTTTGTGTCCTCGTCTTTGCTTTATTCTGTTTTATTTTGTCTTTTGTTTTGTTTTTTACTGGCACGTACCCCCGCCCCTTCCTTTGGCCGTCGACCTGCCTCCATGTAGTGGGAGGCTACCCCCCCAGGCTGGTGGTGCGGCCGTTCCACTAGTCTAATTATTTATTTTATTTTTATTTTATTTGTTTCTGATTATATTTTGTTTTCTTGTATTTTATCGCTCTGCTGACCCTTGGGGCCCATTTTATTTTGGTATACCTTTTCTAGGTAAGTTAGCCTGTGAACACGGAAATTGGCCGAGTCAAGTGATGGATTAGTACGGAGAGATTGAGACAGAAGGAGGTACTGGAGAGAGAGACCGGGATGGTTTTTAATGTGAAGACAACAACTACACTTTTCAATGTATTTTTTCGTACAACTACAACCATCTAGGATCACACAGGAGGGGGTAAACACCAGGGCTTTATTCTCCTTTTTATTTCTTTTCATGCCCCACCTTCCTGCTGCGGTGCGTGCTGATGTTTTATTTTTATCGCGAGAAGGGTCCAGCCGTCCCTTTCCCTCGTCAACGGTGCTAACGTCGAAGTTTGGTACTCACGAGAGCTTGTCAGCCAAATATTCGCTTCCACCCGCACATTTCGAAAGTGTTTCACCCCATGGGGATTCGAACTCACGACCTCTGCGACTAGCGGATTACGAGGATGCCACTAGACGACCGGGGCGACCGAGGTACCACTGCTTGAAGGGGTACACACGCAGCCATCCGTCGCGGTTCGATCGAAATCGCACGCCATGAACGCAACATTGTGTGGACCGTTTGCGAACAACGTTCGACAACTATTTACTGGTAATATATGAAGACTTGCAGACACACAGCTTGTTCGCGTTGTTCGTTGGATCCCAGCGGTCGAACTGCGGACACAACAGATATGAGAACGGGAACAAAAATAGGATACCGTGTTTGTACAATTTGGAGCGTGCGACATACGTATCCATGCTTACAGTACCATTCTTGCGTTGTTCCTTACACAACGCGCAGCTTCTGCTGCTGTGTTCTCTCAATAAATATCTACCAATCAAATGCCTTGGTTATTATATTTTTCTTTGGTTTTCTCCCATCATTGGACTCTGTCGTCTGACCCTCTGGCCCGTATCCTCCACTTCTACCAGCTAGACGACCCAACCGGGGTCACATAGGAGGGGGGGGCCGGACCCCCTCCTGCGGTTTCTGCCTGATATATTTTCATCGCGAGAAGGGTACAGCAATCCCTTCCCTCGCGACTTATGAAGTCGGTCAAGTTTCACCAACAACGAGCTTTGCAGCGCGGACCAGGATTCAATTAGCGAGAAAAAACTCACTCTGTCGGGATTCGATCCCATGACCTGGCCCTCAGCAGGCTACGAGGCTACCCACTAGACCACCGGGGCGACCGTGTACAGGTATCTTCTCTTCTCGCCTCTCACGCAACAACCCCCTCTCATCCCACCCACGAACACTCGCACACCGATTTTGTTCGTGTTCTATTCAGCACATCCGCCGGACAGATCTGGATTTTCCAGGTGGACTCTTTCCCACAAAAAATTCCGTAAAATAAACCCTTCTCTTCTCGCCTCTCACGCAACAACCCCCACTCTCAAAACTAAGTCATCATCCCAACCACGAACGCTCGCACACCATCACACAACACTGCCGCCTCCCCCACTCCCAAGCCTTCGAGTGTTTTCCCACACGATCCTCGCTCAGTGTGTGATCCGGCGTTGAGGAATGCTTCGCCGGGTGCTGCGCTCTGCCGCGGTGGTCCTGCCCGCCGCCCTAGCGCTCGCGCATCAAGATCACCACGAAGTTTCCCGACTGCAACAAAGGCTAGGTGTCGTTGTTCCTGCCTACAAGGGCGACCTCCCCAGGGCCGTATCTTCGCTCGAGCGATGGCCCGGCGAGTGCTCGCCCCTGACCCTCGAGAATGCCGACCTTGTGCTGTACTACGCGGAGGAAGAGAGCAGCGCTACGGCCTCCGCCCTCGAGAGCATCTCCAGCACCGCCGGTCGCTGCTTCGCGAGAACGCGGATCGTGTACGCCAGCCTTGCGGAAGAGGTGAGATCGATCGATTGTTGTTTTTGCGCTCTTGCGGTGTGTTGCGATGCCATCTTGTGCGCGTGGCGAGTTAGCAGAGGCGGCTACTCGTACAGCAGCGTGCTCTCGTGTTCCCCCTCCTGCTTGATGCTGTTGATTTTGATCACTCGTGTGTGTTGCCGATAGCAGTAATCACAGAAAGCGGATTCACGGGTATCGACCAATTATTCTTGGGTTCACGCATCTGCGCGACACACCGTTGGAAACTCCGTTGGGGGACCACCGAAAATCACCTCAAAAACTGTCTCCCGCCGCAAAGACGTCTGTTCAAGTCAAGAGTTCGAACGGACCACATGCCCGTCACCGCAACCGCCCCACAGCTATCTCCCACTCAAGCACCCGCACCCGCCGACTGTAGCGTGCGACCAACGTATACCTGAAGACGTCAGAATCTGTCTGTTGGGTTGCGTGACATGACAAAATCTACTTTGGGGAATGCATACAGCGTATTTCGATCTCTTCTTATAGGAACGGTTGTGTTTTGCTGACGTCAAAGTGTTCCCACACACCAGCATAGGTAATCTACCGTTTCGCATACTTCTGGTAGTCTCAAGCAGTCTGAGGTTTGGTGCCCATCACACGGCGGTGTAGCGTTGGATCCCACCCTTTCAGCCGCGTATTTGCCTCGATGTCTGGCGGAGACGTTGGATGTTCGGTGCCGCAATTCACGCACAAGTGAGGGGAAAATTGTGAGAGGAGCGCGGCGGTTAAGGAGCTCCCAAACAAGAAACAATATTTTATTGTTTTGCTGCATATTCAAAGAGTCAGTCCACACGGTCAATCGCTGTCGAGGGAGTCAACAAGGGGACCATGCTTGCGTGCTTGTGGGTAATCCAACGAGTGGCTGTGCTTCGCAGACCTTGCGCTGGTCGGTGAACGGCAGGGGCAACAAGATTGCATGGAGTGGTGGACGCAGGTGTTCCGACCAAGTTTGTTTAGATATCTTCGGCAAGTTGCCAAGAAATGCGGAAGCGGAGAGCGCTCACCGTATGTGTTATCATGCCTAATCTCGAGAGGCACGAGCTACAACTTTTAGCTGTTGCCGAACCCCGAGTCGAATAGAGTAGGTAGAGATAAACAGCTTTCTAACGCCCTGACGTTCGTTGTTGACGCGTTAGTGATTTCTGCCTTTCGACCATCTGTGCCGCAGCACCCATTCACATGTTGTCTTCTGTATTTCATTTTCTCGCATATTGTTGTATGCACAACACCGACGGGAAATTCGAACCGGAATCCGGAACACACTGCGGTGTGGCGCCATATAAAACTGAACCGAGAGGATTCAACCAGTCCGCCCCTGTGGCCTTTTTCAGTGGTCTCACTTACGCCCTTGCTAATTCAGTGTGAGCCACGAGCGTACTGCGGATTCACTGGTCACTTTCTCCGACGCCACAGGCGAACCAAGCACAAGCATGGCTTGTTCTAGACCAGTGCCAATTGCGAAAAAGTGCTCCTCACCATTGGAGGAAGAATGAGATGCGTTAGAAAGTGGAACGGTCCGACCGGAACGCCAAAAAAATAATGAGCAAATTTCTATCCAACTCCGAAAAGGATGGTAGAACGGTTTGACCGGAAGACCCCGAAAAAATTGTGTGCGAGTTTCTATCCAACGGCGTAAAGGATGGACGACCCTAAACCTCAAAATATACACAGGCAACTGCTTAATTTGCATGCAGGGATGTACTGTTTGCGTGCGCCAATCCATATCCCGGCTGTGGTCTGTGACGCGCGTTGTTTTCTGAGGCAAGTTGCCGTGCACCACCGATGACGCATGAGGGAGCGCTTTTTGTTCACCGCGTGTAAATAGCGAAAAAATAATGGCGGAACTGCTGCTGGGTGAAACATCAGAAAGCACCGAGAATACTTGGGGAAGTGTTTGGCGATTGTTGTGTGAGTACCTGAAGAAAGTCCTCCTCAGTTCGACGGGGTGCCGATGCTGAAAAGCTTTGAGCGGAGGCCTGATTGTTTTCCAAGTCAAGACAACACCGCAACCATCACGACCACCACCAACCACAACCAAGTGCCCTTGCCGGCCCGCGTTCGTGAGTGTGTAATTTTCGTCCTCTCGTTGGGCTAGAAATACCCCGAAGAGAGAATTCAACGCCATTCTCAAGAAATTCGATTTCATGCGATGCCTTTCTGCTAAAGAACAAACAAGCAAGCCATCACGCAATTCTTGCTCCGCTCTCTGGCCAAGTGCTCTCCTGCAGTATTCATGCGTCTCAAACGCCAACGTTCCTTGTCTACGTTCGGGTCACTGATGATCGCCTGCCTTGTCGCTAGCTGCTGTTCTTGATGTCAACGTCGAACCACACGCGAAAAACTATTGTCTTTCGTGTTTTGTTTTTCCACTCCGTATCTACTTGAAAGGATGATGTATACCCCCGAGGCCCCTCCGTCATGTTCTACAACATGTTCCTCGACGAGGACGTGCGCTCGAGCCTCTCCGAGTACGACGCGCTCTCCATCATTGAGTGGGACGTGCTCGTCGCCAGCGACAACTCCTTCGAGGAGCTTTACCACGCCGCGTTCCGGGTGAACGAAGAGTTCTGGGTGAAGGGAAGCAACCTCGAGGGCACCTCGTTCCATTCGACCGCTGAGGCGTCGGAGATGTGGCAGGTGCTCGGCCACATCAACGGCAACGCCATCTATAACAACGACGACCCGGCGTTCGTCGAGTACGTGGAGTACACTCGGGCCCGCTGGGGATACGAGCACCCGTACGACGTGGCGCTGTGGATGACTATCTCGGACTTCCCGTACAGCTGGCCTCTCTACCAGCGGTACTCGAGCAAGTTCGTCGTAACCAACCTGGTAGGTAAATGGGAAGGTTATTTCTTCGTTCTGTACATGTTCGGCTCCGGAGTGCTTGCGCCTTTTTCAATGTGAAACCTTTTTAAGAGTGAAACTATTTGTAGATATGAGAAATGTGCTCGGTCGTGTGTAGGGAGGGGTCACTTCCGGGCTAAGGGAGAAAAACCATTGGGTGAGATCACGTGTGGGAAAAATAGGTAGCAATGTTGAAAGGGCGAGAGTGCTGTAGTCTTTCAGAGTAACACTTCGCCAGTTCCGGTTTATCGGTGTACCATGTACCTGCAGCATCATCTTCACAGGAGTGTCGTGCGCGATCCCCAGCGCGGTCGAATGAACAGTGTTACCAGCAGTATCTTCCCACTTCTCGCCGAACGTACCCTTTGTATGGTGTCGTTGAATTCGAGCCGGCCCACGTTCCCCGACCTTGTTGTGCATGGTCGATGACCCCACGCTCCCGTTCCTGGCCCTCGTCCCCACCCGCTTCCCCGTGCACCGTTTTTCCAAGATCTCATCGGTCGGCTTCGAGCACGTGGGCCACGACATGGTCTCTGACGCGGTTGCGGGGCGGACACTTTTTATTCACGGCAGCAGCATTGAAGAAGGCAACGTCGCCTCCTTCAGGGCCACCGCCGCCGCTGCCGTTGCCTTGAAAAAACCCGAGCCAGCGCAGCAGAGCAGCAGGAAGCTAACAAGCGTGCCGAAATGGAAGAAAGCTGAGAAGTGGAGAAACGGCAACGACGACGGCACGCCCAAGTGCGGTTTTGTTTTGTTTTTCACTGGTGTTATTGTTGTTGGTGGAAGGTTGGTTGGCGCCGTTTCGGTGCCCGCCGAAACTCGGTAGCAGTTTTTTTCCTAGTCATCCGCTTCCTGAGCCCTGGTTAGGGACCGGACGATGTAAGATTTTTGAGTCCTTTGTCGTCGTTCATTCCGCTCGCTTGTTGGCGACTTCGACAAACGCTGTGCGTCCGAGGCTTGCGAACTGGAATCGTGTTTTGCGGACGATAGCGTTGCGGCGTCGCCCTCGTCGGTCGATGCTTGGCCTGATCGCGCTTGACAGGTGGAAACGCAACCAGAAGTGGAAGAACAAGGACGGCGGCAGCGAGCCGAAGTGGCGGACCAACCAGAAGTGGAAGAACAGGAACGACTCTTCCGACGACTCGTCGTCTTCGGATGAAAGGTGAGTTGGATGGATTTTTCATGTCAGAGTGTTTCCGTTGTTTTTGTTATTTCATCAATCTTGTTGGAAAGCCAGGTTGTACGTCGTAACCAATTTTCACAAGTTTTTTGGTCTTTCAACGTAGCGGTGAAAACCCATCCTTGGTGACCATCAGCCGAGTGGCAACCGATCGCGGTCGGCGGGCCGGGGAAAAATGGATCCAGTGTTCCACAAAGTGTAATCACGGCCTTCGTTTCGGAACGTGTTTCGTATTCGCCGTTTTATCCGTTTACTCCATGACCACTGTGTTACGTCGACGGGAGCAGCTGCTCGTCCCGCTGCGCTTACACAAGCAAGGACGGCACCAAGGGACGCGTGTGCGACTCGAACTGCTCCAGCCCGAACGTGTACGGCACGAAGGGATGCAACGCAAAGCAGGGGATCTACGGCGCCGACTGCCGTGTCTGCTACAACAGCGTGGACAAGGCCCTCAAGCAAGACTCTCCGGACAACCGTGCCATCATGTACGACGCAGTTGTTGTGTACTTGGTACGAGTTTGTTGCTGTATGCAAGGCACTCACCGGGCCTGAATGTTGAACGGTGGAAGCGTTTGACGGTCTCCGTTTACTTCTTGGCCAGGCATGTTGTGCTTTTACTCGATAATCCAGTTTTTTTTTGTTGTATTTCGTTGAAACGGCTGAGTGCAGGTGCTCGACGGTGATGCCGGTGGACGTCTACCATCGTCGCATGTCAGCCGCGGACGAGGGCGAGGCTTCCCGCGTGGCGCGTAGGCTGGCGGCGTTGAAGGAGGACGCATCATCGCCGGCGGAGGAGGTGGAATTGGCGGTGAAGGTCGACCAGGACCGGAAGCTGACGAGTGTGCCAAGGTGGAAGGCGAAGGAAAAGTGGAGGACCGCGAACGATGACGGCATCCCCAAGTGCGTTATCGACGAGTGACTTGACACCGTCGGCAATGCGGTTGACCATTGGTCATTATGCGGGCTGTGCACTTGGTATTGGTTTGGATGGTGAATGTTCCATACTGACCCGTGTTCTTGGAAATGTTTTTGTTTGATAAAACTGTCCCGTCCTTGGTTGTCGTACACTGTTTTTTGGTTGTATCGTTAACCGCTGTGCAATGTACATGCTGATGTGCGTTCACTGACGATTGGAAGAATCCCTATGTTGAGGCCTACTGCGCACCCCCCCGCAACACGCCGTAGGTGGCAGCGCAACCAGAAGTGGAAGACGAAGAAGGATGACGGCGGCGAGCCGAAGTGGCGGACCAACCAAAAGTGGAAGAACAAGAACGGCTCGTCTGACGACTCGTCGTCTTCCGACCCAGGGTACGCGGCGTGACTTTTTTTATGGGAACGCGGACCACAGTCGGAAAAGGAAATGGATGTCCCTGAATATCTTGCCGCTGGTTTCAACATAGGTGAATGCTATGGGCACACTCTCCGATGAGACGCGGCATTGTTTTCTCCAATATTTCTTGGTATTTGTCGTCCTGTTACGTATGTACCCTTGTCACCATGACTAGCAACGGCATTGTTGATGTGTCCAGCTCCAATAGTTTGTGTCCAATCCCGCAATTTCTGTCTGCCTTACTTGCTTCTTGTGAACCGAGGCAGGTGCTCGTCCCGCTGCACGTATACAAGCAAGGACGGCACCAAAGGACGCGTGTGCGACTCGAACTGCTCCACGCCGAACGTTTACGGCACCAAGGGATGCGGCGCGAAGCAGGGGATTTACGGCGCCGACTGCCGTGTCTGCTACAACAACGTGGACAGGGCCCTCAAGCAAGACTCTCCGGACAACCGTGCCATCATGTACGATTAATACCGCTGAAAGAGTAAAGGTTGACTTGAGTTGCAGCGGGGGCCTCGCGGCGGATATTTGTAGCCTCTTTTTCGTCTTGGGCGGTCGTTTTCCTTTGTCTGCCGACATGGACACCCTGTTTTCTCCCTTGTACGACAGGTGCTCGACCGTGATGCCCGTGGATGCCTATGGCCGTCGGATGTCGGCAGCGGAGGAGGGCCTGCCTTCGTTTGTTGCGCGTAGCCTGGAGGCGTTGCAGGAGGACAAATCGTCTCTGTCGTGGAAGGCCAGCGAGAGCCGCAAGCTCACGAGCGTGCCAAAGTGGAAGGCAAAGGAGAAGTGGAGGAACGCGAATGATGACGGCGTCCCCAAGTGCGTACTGGTAACGGTTGACGGGGTACTTGTGTTGCCGTTGGCTATTGCATGTGTGTCATGGCGCGAATCGTCCAAAGTGTATCACTCGCTTCAGTCTGGTTGGTAGGAGCCGTGGAAACAGTGTCGCTAGTCGCTGAGCTCCGGCAAGGGTGTCTTTTTTCTGTCGCTCTGATACAGTGGGTGTTGCAATTTGTGCACGTCCTTAATTCTTATTCCAAGGCTTCAGAATTACCCATTTGGGATTGGACGTGTCCGCCTATTCTGACCCTTGTGTGTCGTCCATCGATATGGCCTCCGCGATTCAGGTGGCAACGAAACCAGAAGTGGAAGACGAAGAAGGACGACGGCAGCGAGCCCAAGTGGCGGACCAACCAGAAGTGGAAGAATAGGAACGACTCGTCGGACGACTCTTCTTCTTCCGACGCAGCGTGAGTTTGAAATATCTACTTTGAAATTTTACTATAGCAGGTCAGCATTGAGGAATACTGTATTTTAACAACCCTACGGGAGGTGTGTAGCTACGAGGGTCAGGTCGGGCAAGTCGGAATCGTTGGTGTACGTCTGGAAGCATCGCTCCCGGAATGTTGAGATGAATTCCAATTCTGACCTCCTTGTACGTTTGTTCGAAGTGCCTCGAATCGATCTCACGTCCGGAGCCTTTTGTAATGCACACGTCTCACTAGCTTTTGGTGTGTCCCGTGAATTAATTTTCGATGCAGGTGCTCGTCCCGCTGTGCTTACACGAGCAAGGATGGCACCAAGGGACGCGTGTGCGATTCTAACTGCTCGAGCCCGCACGTGTACGGCACCAAGGGATGCAACGCTAAGCGCGGAATGTACGGCGCCGACTGCCGTGTCTGCTACAACAACGTGGATAGGGCCCTTAAACAAGACTCTCCGGACAACCGTGCCATCATGTACGAACAAGTCTGCACGTTATGGCTTCTGGGTTTCGACCCCGAGTGGATGTTTGGAATTGGCCGCGCATGTGTATACTCGCCCCTCCTCCCTTGGCCTCTTGCGCAATCGTTTTGATGTATTTTTTGCTGACGTGTCGCGTTCGGATTGAATCCTTGGCACGAAATCGACGACAGGTGCTCAACCATAAAGCCGGTAGACGTCTACCGCCGTCGCATGTCGGCCTCGGACGAGAGCGAGCCTGCCCGCGTGGCACGTAGCCTGGCGGCGTTGAAGGAGGACGCATCTTCGCCGGCGGCGAAGGCGGAATCGGCGATGAAGGTCGACCGGGACCGGAAGCTGACGAGTGTGCCGAAGTGGAAGGCAAAGGAGAAGTGGAGGACCGCAAACGATGACGGCATCCCCAAGTGCGTATTTCGCGGTGGCATTTGGTTCGTGTGTTCAAAGTCGTAGAAATAGATTTGCCATGATAGATGCCTCAGTTGGTTTTCTTGAGCGTGGGTTTGAAGAATCCGGCACCTGTTGGGCGTAGGCGTATCTCTGGCCGACACTGTATCCCCGGGTGGCGTTGGTGACCGTTTCTTTCTGGTTTGCGCCGTCGCACCCAACACTATCCCTTTGCAACACACGCTAGGTGGCAGCGCAACCAGAAGTGGAAGACGAAGAAGGACGTCGGCAGCGAGCCCAAGTGGCGCACCAACAAAAAGTGGAAGAACAGGAACGACTCTTCCGACGACTCTTCGTCTTCGGACACAGCGTGAGTTCAAATTTGGCATCAAACACGACTTTTTCGAGAAATTTATTTAGGCTGTTGTGTCTTCAACTACAAGCGCTTAGAAGCAGCTGGGCAATATCGAAGTCGTTGGTAGTGCACGTCTGCTACAAAGTCTTCCGGAAATGTTGACCTCCCAAGCTTCAGCCGACCTTGCCCGTTGGTGCATATTCTCCGTGCGCCCATCGAATCGACCTTAATGTCTAGAGGCTCTTTTCACAGCCGAATGTTGTAGTACTCACCAGCTCTCGGTCTCTCCGATGCTGACTTATTTTTCGATGCAGGTGCTCGTCCCGCTGCACGTACACGAGCAAGGACGGCACCAGAGGACGCGTGTGCGACTCGAACTGCTCCAGGCCGAACGTGTACGGCACCAAGGGATGCGGCGCGAAGCAGGGGATCTACGGCGCTGACTGCCGTGTCTGCTATAACAACGTGGACAGGGCCCTCAAGCAAGACTCTCCGGACAACCGTGCCATCATGTAAGAGAACTAGTGGCACGTGTTGACGATCATGCTTTTCGTGGTTTACGCCCATCGATCGGATGGAAAAGGGGCTTGCCGGCCGTCAAAGGAAAAGACAACAAGAAACGGGCTCGTACGTTTTTTTTCCATTCGTGTTCATGTCGTGCGCGCGCCCTTGCCGTGTTGATGGGCAAGTGCTTTAATTTGTCTCCAGTCCGCTCGAACCCTTGTCCGTCACATGCCATTTCACGCACCTACTTGACTCGGCCCACTGATCTCGACAGGTGCTCGACCATGATGCCAGTAGACGTCTACGGCCGCCGCTTGTCTGCCAGCGATGAGGGCGACCCTCTTCGCGTCGCCAAGATGATCGAAGCGGAGGAAGTCGGGGATGAGTGGAGCGTCGACGTCGACAGAGTGAAGGCGATCCGCTTCTTCGAGGAGGCGGCCGAACGACCGTTCTTCCAGGACCTGAAGCGCCACAACTTGTGCGCCTTCGTGGGTGGTCGGGTGGGCGAGGAGGCCATGTGGGAGGTGACGGTGAAGAGCATCCTGCAGTTCATGCCGGGCATGAGGGTGGCCATCGCGGCTGAGTCAGAGGGACTTGACGCATACGAGAGGTGCGTGTGTGCGCGGGTGGAATATTCGACTTTGGGCGTCTTTTTCCTGTTTGTTTTCCGTGCCTCCATGTGGCCATGTGGGTTGACGGTTCGCGTGACTGGATCGACCAACAGCGCTCTAGCAACTCGCCGCCTCCCGTGCTCTAAAAGTAGGCCTCCGCTCTTTCTCCCGATGCCCACGAATCCAGGTCCTTGGGCGGTCTTCCGGGTGCCGCCATTTCCAGCACCCAAAACTCCGCCACGGCGGCCCTGTTCGCGGACCAGTACTGCGGGGCTGGCACCGCTCTTATCTTGTACGTCGAGCCGGGGTCCGTTCTCTCCCGGCCCTTCACCTCCAAGGACACCCACTCCCCGCGGGGCGACCTCCTGGTCGTGCACACGGGCTCTCCGGGGAGCTACCACGACTCCCAGCTGAGGAGCCGCTCCGCTTCGGTGCTCGGGTTCGATGCGCCGTCCTTTACGCACGGCACCGATCTGATGCTCCCAATGGGCACTAACCAAGCCCTCCGGGAGTCTCTCGGGTTTCGACTTGGTGCCAGTCTGCAGCACGACGGGGACGGAGCCTCGTTGATCGCCCTTGAGGAGTTGGTGGGCTTCGACCGAGTCTCCGCTCTTCCCCAGGTATTTGTTTCTTTCGTTTGTGTGCACACGCAAGGATGTTTGGTAGAGCGTTGGTGTCTTGGAGGCTAACTGGAGCTCTTGGCGTGTGGCGTGCACGGTCACGAAATTGTGTTCGGGGTGTCTTGCTGGCTGGTTTCCCGGTGTTGCTCTACATCACGGCAGGAGTAGGAAGAACGCCCTTTTCGATCGCTGACGGTGCAGCCCTCTGTCGTTTTTTTCATTTATCCACGTTGCAGGTGCTTGCCGCGCTCGCCTACTCCCGCGAAACGCCCGGAGTGTGGTTTGTTGACCCCCAGGCTTGGGTCGGTCAAAACTTGTTCAAGGAGGCATCCATCTGGGACGTCCCTCTGGTCAAGCCGCGCTACATGTGCGCCATCGCTCCTGCTCAGCTGGAGCCTGGCAGCCCCAACACTGCCAATGTTTTGCAAAGCAACCTCGACTTCTTCTCGAAGGGAGGCAAATGCGCCAACGGTCTGATTGATATCATGCCTTAGCTGTCAACATTTTCGCTTCTTGGTTCAGTTTTCTCTGTGGGCCATGTTTCTCGTTGTTTTACTGCGGGCCGGCGCACCGTGGCTTGCTCGAGCTTGTTGTTGTGCTGGGGCCAAAACATGTTGACGTCATTGTAGTGTCGTGTTGTACTATTCCCAATTTTGAGACAGGCGACAAATTTGTGTTGGTGGCGAGAACAGTTTTGCTGTTTTACATGGATGAACATTTTAGCGTTCGGGGCGCATGGAGGTTCGAGATATCTGTTGCTCGAGTGGGAACAACTGTCGGTTGTTTCCGCCAGCACAAACCCAACGTCGTGGGCCGTTCATTTTTTCACGGGTGTGCGGCAGGAGGGCAGCTGCCCTTCTGGCATCTAGCACTGGCGTTGGAAGCCATAGCCGAAGAGACGAACGATCCATCACGGAGGGTCGTCACAGCAAGCAAGTTGTACATAAATACCGCTGTTTTCGAATCTCTTGTTGCTATCATTCGTGAACCACGGTTGTGCAGACCCGCCTATGGTGCTTATGCTTCAAGATGGTTGTTCCCGTTTTTTTGTTTTCCTGTGCTGATATCATAAGGTTGTACGTTGCTACCCTGTGTTTGGACGATGGTGACGTATATGCACCGTAGGTAGGTCGCGCATGCTGTTAGCCTTAGGCAGGAGGGGCCCCCAAAGGTTTCTCCGAAAGGTTCACTAAAGTCTTCGCGTTGTGGCGCGTTTTGTTTGTTGCGGTCTCTCCCGACGAGGTCTCTGTTTTTGTCTTAGCCATGTCGAATCTGGTGTTCTACCGAGGATTTCGGGTTGTGCCACTAGACTAGTCGTGTACCAACAGTTGTCTATGTATACCGGTGGGGGTAACGTCCGCTTGTTCGAAGTGACTATGAGTTGATTACAGTGAGTGGTTTTACCGTCCTGCCGCGTCGTTTTCAGCCGGTGACACGTAATGCACTGGGGAATGCCCCCGCCGGCATGCAATAGGGGACAGGTCTTGTGAAAGGTAAACTACGCGGGAAGCCTGTCCGGGGCGTTACTTGGGGCACTGCGTAGTTGGCTGTGTTAGGCCGAGAGACTGGAAAGAGGGTGGGAGGAGGAAACTTGATTGGAGAGAGGCGGCGATGGAGAGAGGGAGAAGGAAGTGCGCAGCACGCATGCAAGGACTGCACGGGTGGTCCAACACACGAAATTCCCAACACCTATCCCCTTGGGATCCTGACGACCAGATACTGCTGCGACTATGTCTAACATTTGGTAACCTTGTTGACCCAAGCGGTCAATCCAATGAGGGCCTTGACAACGATATTTTGCTCGTCGGAAGTATGTCGGAATCGCCAGGGAGGTTGCTTTTTTTTCATTGTTTTTTCGGGGAGGCGGTACGAGGAAAGTGTAACGGGAGGTCCCCTTGCTCCGGAATGTTTCCTTTTTTTTGTGGTGATGGTTTTGCCGTATGCCTTGCAGTCACAACGCTTTTTTTTTTTTTCGGTTTCATGCCGTTTTTTCGCGGGTGTAGGAATGACGACGCGTGCCTATGGATGTGAGGGTGGGTGTAAGGTCATACTTTCTTATTTGCTGAGGCGTCTGTCATGGTGGCGCCGCTGGTGAGGGTGGGGTGTGATACAGTATGTCGGGTATATCGAAAGGCGGGTTGGCAAGAAAAATAATAAAAATATTGTTGGCCATTTTCCCTTGATTTCAATTGACTTGTAGCGGGTGTTCCTGGAACGTCCGTGATGGGACAGGATTGGACAGGAGCGAGACTTCATTGATTGCATGCCGGTGAAGACGGAAGTGCGTCTCGATCGTTCGTGAGTTTTTGGTGCGGTACATGCAGGAGGAGGATAGTACGTTGATCCTCGTGGTCACTCATAGGGTGAGACCTCCCGGGTTACACGAAACAAACGACTGAAGTACTGTATCTTGCGAAGGTGTACCGATTCAGTCAGGTAAAACGTCAATTGAATCGACGGATACCCTGCGAACCGGGTCCGCCTTAGCACTCTTCACCCACAGAATTTTCCCTCAACCTCTTGTGCCCAGGATGGGTAATTCGATGGAAGTGTCTCAAGGTTCTTTGGATCGACTGCAAGAGATGTTCTTAGGACTTGACACACATTTGTGTCCACGGGAAAATGTCCAAGTCAGTAGAAAAAGTGTGCATCCAAGGAGGTTCGAAGCAGTATCCTGCCGCTGACGCCATGTTCGAAAGTGCACCGATTCAGGTAAAAGTCAATCGACGGATGCCCTGCGAATCGGGCCCCCCTTAACAATCTGGCGAGGATCGTGATCTAAAATAAGCTGACTATACGAATGGATGCAATGCATGGTGTGTATGTAAGGGTTTGCGGGGAAAGCTGTCTCGCACACCTAAGTACCCCCCGCCCCCCCCGGGGAAGGCCAAGTTTATGAAAATATTTTTTTCCCCTCGCTTTTTCTGTTGTTTTTGTTGCCCGCATCCTCAACAAATAAAAAGTCTAATTTGTTTTTTCCCTCGCTGTTTCTCTTGTTTTAGTTGCCTGTATCCTCAACATTGGTGCGCATGTTATATATATAGTCTAATAGTGTTGGTGCAACATTAAACCCTGTTTGACTGCTCGCTGTACTGAGACTACCGCTAAAGAAACGCGTTGGTGGAGGAACTGTACACAAAGTTCCACATCATCATCCACACCCACCATCTCCTCGAATCAAAGTTCATTGAACTCAACACCCGGGAAAGCACCACACCTCTGCGCGCATGAAAAACGAACCATGTTTGGGGGTATTTAGCACTCGATACTGATCTACGGGGATAAAGGCGGTTTCGTGTATCATTGGCGGTATGACATAATGTGCGGTAGAGGGGCGATCTCTCTTCTGCTGTGCATGGGCTAGCATGCCCGGCGCACTCGTTAATATACCAAGGTCTTGAGTGAACCTTTCTTCTCTGCGCTTCTGACAACAAGCTGCCCGCCTCCACACAAGCCAAAATGATCGACGGACACCGCGGAATATAGTAATAATTGTAGGAGTTCCCAACTATCTATCTATGCAACGCAGTGTTCCGTTCCAACACTCACTGCTGTTACAGCTATGATCGCACTTCAGGGTATTATTAACTAACGACAAGAAAATCACGGAACATTTATTTCACGGAAGGAATCGTTTTTTCTTCAACATACATAGTCTACATACATGGCTTGCTACTTTCACGGATCCATCCGTGTTTTTGACAGAAGCATCGGACAAGCGCACCGCGGGCGCTGTAACATTACTGAGAACGCTAGAATGACCTGCCAGACTCACGTCCAGGTCTGTTGTGGAGATGATGGTTAAGCGGCAGAAGCGGCGTTAAGTCCGTTCTTGGTCCAAAACTAGATATATAGACTATTGCGTGGTGCTCTCGTCTTCAACCGCTGCTGCTGCTGTTGGTGCTGGGGAATTTTTTTCAATCACACATATATACACAGGTGGCCAGTGGGCACGGTAACGGGGGGGTTAAGCGACCATTTTGATTTTTTTCGAGGCCGCATTTTCTAACTGCCAAGATCTTAAGTGCGAGCGCCATCTTCATCTTCTGATCATGATGTATTAAGAGCCCCTCTCTACCCTCCCCTCCTGCGGTACTTTGCTTTCGATTTTTAATGCGAGAAAAGTTCAGCACTCTCGTCCCTCTGTATACACACGAACTAGCCACTATCCACTAGGCCAGGAGCGGAAGCGAGAGAAAAACTCACTTTATTTACAAGAAAAGCTCGCTTACGCCGGGATTCCAACCCCTACTATTATTATGTAGCAGAAAATAAACATGTAGACTAGTCTACCTATTCGACCGACCGGGAGCACCGTTTCGCCTCAAAGCCCGCCTGCTCCAGGCGGAGGCAGTGGAGGCACTGCTATACGGCTGCATGACATGGTCCCCACGCCGCAACCACTACGGAATGCTGCAGACGACACACCACCGGCTACTCCTACGAGTCATCGGCTACCGGCGCAAACGAGGCACCTACCGGCAGCTGTCATACGCCCAGGCGCTAAAGAGGGTCGGCTGCCAGAGCGTGGAGGCCACTGTCCGTCAACGGCGCCTGCTCTTTGCGGGGGCCGTGGCAAGACAGCCGGACGGGCGGCTTCCGAAACGGCTGATGTTCGGCGAGTTGGTGGGAGGGGAGGACCCGGGCC